AGCTGTGGCACGGTTCTAGGCTAAAAAAAATATATATATATATATATCTGATAATGGGTCCCAGACCCATCGGTCCCTGGGATAAAAAAAATATATATATATATATATGTGATAGAAACTCAACAAGGATGGGATTCCAGGGCAAAAAAAAATATATATATATATATATAGATGACATGAGACTAGAGATATCCAGCATCCAACAAAAAAAAATATATATATATATATATAGTCTGAGCAGCTTCACAGAGTCCCCAGGAAGCCCCAAAAAAAATATATATATATATATATATTTCTGAGCCCCGCAAGGAAAAACGAAGAAGTGGAAAAAAAAATATATATATATATATATGGTTCCAATCCCTTCCCAACTAACAGGCTGTGTGGCAAAAAAAATATATATATATATATATTCAGTTTCCTCATTTGTTAAATAGGGATGATGATAAAAAAAAAATATATATATATATATATTTTGGATGATTAAATGGATGATTAAATGACTTAATAAAAAAAAATATATATATATATATATGGCACTCAGTAAGTGCAAGGAGTCACAGAGGGTCCTAAAAAAAATATATATATATATATATTGGCCAGTAACACCAGAAGAGGCTGCTCTAGGGCAGAAAAAAAATATATATATATATATATTGTTAGCATCCCACCTCCAATCTACTAAATCAGAACAAAAAAAATATATATATATATATATTGCCTAGGTGATTCTTAAACACATTACAGTTTTGAGAAAAAAAATATATATATATATATATAAGTCCAAAGACCATGCAGGATGAACTACATTCAGCAAAAAAAATATATATATATATATATACAACATAACCCCACTTGGAACTTAGAGAACACACCAAAAAAAATATATATATATATATATTGACTATCTAAAAGAGCCTGCCTTTAAACCAGACATAAAAAAAATATATATATATATATATCATTTTTCACCATGGGGAGAGATGAGTGCCCACAAAAAAAAAAATATATATATATATATATAGTTTCGTTGTGTACTCCCACATTTGTGACTATACAAAAAAAAATATATATATATATATATTGGAAACAGTCTCATAGGAGCTGGTCATTATGTCCAAAAAAAAATATATATATATATATATCCAAACCGTAAGCTCCTTATGGCATCCCCACCACAAAAAAAAAATATATATATATATATATAGCTCCATGGCAGTGATTAGCATTGCTATTGTTCTTAAAAAAAATATATATATATATATATAAGGCAATGGGTGAAACTCCAGTGGGAGGGGTTGAGAAAAAAAATATATATATATATATATATGAATGTGAGGCACTGAAGGGAATAGACACTCCTCAAAAAAAATATATATATATATATATTGGCGGCTGTGAGAGGTTTCTTTAGGAGCTGGTCTCAAAAAAAATATATATATATATATATGTGAGTGGGGAGATTCCCTGGAGCCCATCCAACCCTAAAAAAAATATATATATATATATATTCTTACCACTTGAGTCATCTTGAGGCACAGTTTCTTAAAAAAAATATATATATATATATATGCCCCTGCAGCCGCATTCTGCACCTTATCATCATCCAAAAAAAATATATATATATATATATTCAGCCGGTCGTTCCCATCAGCCAAGAACCTTTCCTAAAAAAAATATATATATATATATATCTCAGAGAAAACTGTCCCCAATCTGCCCAGCCTGAAAAAAAAAATATATATATATATATATCCAACCCAAGATCCCTTAGCGTTTCCCTCTGAGCAGAAAAAAAATATATATATATATATATAGTCTTCCCCGATTGGTTGAATGAAGGGGCTACAAATTCTTCCAAATAAAGAAAACAAAGAATTCCCCATCTAGTGTGCTTCACCACCTCTGTTTGCAAAAAAAATATATATATATATATATAGGCAGGCGCAGACTCCTGCAGGGTAGATGATGCCTAAAAAAAATATATATATATATATATGGGGAAGCTTGGAAGGTTTCTCCCACAATGGATGGGAAAAAAAATATATATATATATATATTTTGCAGGGACTGGGGCAGAAGCAGGGAACAATTAGAAAAAAAATATATATATATATATATACAGTGCCGTCTCCACCAGGTGAGAGATGAGGCTTCAAAAAAAATATATATATATATATATAGCTTCCAGGGGACCAGTACCCTGACATTAACCCCTAAAAAAAATATATATATATATATATGCACTACTGTAAAATCTAGGTGGTCAACTCTCAGAGAAAAAAAATATATATATATATATATAAGTGGAACTCCAAAAGGGGACCAAGATCACAGCTTAAAAAAAATATATATATATATATATCTCCCTGAAACTGGAGTAGTGGTCATCGGAGGTGAGAAAAAAAATATATATATATATATATAGACGGGTCAGCATGGCCCCTTCTCATGGGATACAGAAAAAAAATATATATATATATATATACATGGACTACATTCCCCCATTTCTCACATCTCGATAAAAAAAATATATATATATATATATTGGAACATGAGCGGAAGTGATGTGTGTCACTTTTAGAAAAAAAATATATATATATATATATCATTCACCATCAGAGTGGAATCCACTCCCAGTGTGGCAGAGGAGAAGGCAGTTCTTGATGATCAAAGAAGCCTGGATCCCTGAGTCAGCTTGAAAGTAAAAAAAATATATATATATATATATTCACGCCTGTAATCCCAGCACTTTGGGAGGCCAAGGAAAAAAAATATATATATATATATATCAAGACCATCCTGGCTAACACAGTGAAACCCTGTATAAAAAAAATATATATATATATATATAGGGGTGGTGACACGCGCTGTAGTCCCAGTTACTGGAAAAAAAATATATATATATATATATGAGCCCAGGAGGCGGAGGTTGCTATAATTCGAGACCAAAAAAAATATATATATATATATATACAGAGCCAGACTCCATCTCAGAAAAAAAAAAAGTGAAAAAAAATATATATATATATATATGACTTTGACGTGGTGAGCAAGAAATGAACTTCTATCAAAAAAAATATATATATATATATATCTTGAGTTGTTGTAGCAGCCGGTGCTCCCATAGGAAAAAAAAAATATATATATATATATATTCCCTCAACCTCTCAGCCTCCCAACCCCATCTCCCTAAAAAAAATATATATATATATATATGCTTCCAGGCCCCCAGCCTGGCCTTAGGCCAGCTCCAAAAAAAATATATATATATATATATCCCCTGACTTTAATATGCTTTTTTTTTTTTTTTTTTAAAAAAAATATATATATATATATATACAGAGTA